TCAGTCAGTCAGTCAGTCAGTCAATCATTATTTTGTACCATTATACTCGCACACTCAAAAAATGTAAACAATTTAAAACAATATTAATACTACCATAGTTAACTTTAATAGCAAGTAAAAATTAGCTGGTTGATTAAAGAGTAGCACCTTACCTCTGTAGTGCTTGCTTGTACTTGTGTTTCATCTTGTTTTGGTGTTTCGTCACTTGTATCGCTGTCAGATAACATTAATAGCCATTTATTGTTTTCTATATATAATAAACTCAAAATGAACTGTTTTATACTTTTTCCTCTTTTTTTAATGTTTTATATTACTAAGAAGTTTCAATCCCTGAATGACTTATTGTAAAACATGAAAAAGTCATAGGAAAGGAGTAAAAAAAATCATAAACATGGCTCCTGACGACAATTTAGAAACCTTTGACTTACTTGTCTGGTGTTTGTAAACAATCTGGGACGTCCCATTGTGATGCTGTAGAATATATTCAAAAGGATCATGTGGATTAAGCTTCTAAATTTATATTGTTTGAGGCAATAAAAGTTTACAATATAGAGTAGGTTCCATATGAGTGGGAAATGTATGGAACTGCCTTATAGCATGTACAATGTAGGGTATGCAATAACACTGAGATGGCTTCCTATCATTTTCCTGTCAAGTATCCAATCACATCACAGTCATGGCTACACGTATAATGCATTCTTCATGGTTAGTGAATACAACTGCTGCCTAGTTAGCTCAGTTAGTAAGAGCATCGGCCTTTTGCAGGCTTGATTCATCAGATCAAGCCTGCTGCACCAGATCAACACTTGGGGTCTTAAAATAACTAAGGAGAAGGTGCTGCCTTTGTAATTACATCTTCAAATGGTTAGACCTTTATGTCTTATCAGATAAGGACTTCAAACCATAGGCCCTGTCTGTCTTCACTATATAACCCCGTATAGTGCAGAAGTAAAAGACCCACTGAAAAAGCAGRTGATTATTATAGTTAGTACTCATACTAACGCTACAGGGCCCACAGGCTAATTAGTTATGATGTTGTGGTGTCCCTGCCCTCAGAGGAAAATAATACAGTACAGATGTAAAGACATTTTCTTACCTAGTGTTTCAGAGTTATAGTAGTAATAGTAGCCTTCAGGTGATTGTGCTATAGACCAATGATGAGAACAGTGAGCTACTGGTTGGCCATCGTTATAGACTATGGTACAACCTGCAATAACAACATTTTACATATTAATGTGTATTCCAAAACTGCAATCCAAATTTTTTTTAAAAACACTACTTTATTCGCATCAGTGAGTGCGAAAGGAGATATTGAGGTTAGCCCTATCGTGAACATCTCCTAAGATTGAATTAGAATTTAGTAGTAGTTGGTTTTTGAGGAGGGAGGAAATACGGAGAATCCAAAGAAAAAACTCTCAAATTACAGGGGAGAACCAACAAACAACTCTACTCACATACAACACCAAGCTCGTCGGGACTCGAACCCGGGTTGAATAGGTGAGAGGCAAGCACTCTCACTGCTACGCCACCCATGCTTGGTTTTCGCAACTAATGTAGATGAAACGTTTTGTTGAAATTCAAAAAGTAAACTAATCAAAAATAGAACATTTAGGACTACATGATAGCAGCCATGTTGGATGGCAGATAAGAAAAATCCAATTCCTCAGAGTATTAAAGAAATTATTGTTTTAACATCTAACATAGTTAGCCGCTGACATGCAATCATGCATATTTTAAGCATCTATTATTGTACATGAATAGAGTGGGGAATATATCCAGAATGATAATACGTTAACTAGTCCATGCTGATTGTGGCGTATCTAGATGGTATGACTAACCAGCACTGGATGTTTCGTTATGCGTAGTTGTTGTGTTTCCTTCCTGGTAAGTCTTTTGTTGGTAGGATACTGGTCTTGATGTAGAAGTTGTTTTCTGTGTAGCTCTGTTGAATGCTTCTTCACCAATGTCTTTCTTGTATGCCTCTAGTGCAGCCTGAAAAAGATTACTATACCACAGTAAGACAAGTGCATTGTACATTAATTTAGCCAAACACAACACTGCTCATTTGATACTTGTACACTGTACGCTTTGAGCATTTACCTCTGCACTATCCATGCCAAGCAGCACCTGCGTTGCTTTGTTAGTGATTACTTTTTTTAATAAGTTAATCAAATTTACCTTCAGTATGGTAAAATAGACAGTCTATAAAACACACGATATATAACCCAATCCATCTGTCTTAGCACTCTTGACCTCCCTATAGCTTTCTAAACTATTTGAATTGTTATCATAAACATTACATCTTCAATTGCTTGCAGGTTCCTTTTCAATTCTTCATTGTCTTTCAGAGTTTGAGCTCCTCTCTTGTGGACCTAACATGCAGAGGTAAATAAACAAGGTTTTTATTTGGTACTTCTTGACTATTGTAGATTTGGTTTGAAGCAGCTATGCTAAAGGGTCTAACCTCTTTTATTTTTCTTGCAACGTTTTCCTTGTGTTTTTTGCCTCTCTCATGGAACTCTATACTCTGAATTTGAATTAAAGCAAAGTTATGTATCATGACTTGTGTAGCAGTGCTAATAGACTGGTCTACAGCTGTAGAGCATTTTACTTACGGGTTTATTATCAGTAATCCAACATTTACAGAAATCACAAAATTTTTTAGCTTGTGACTGCCAGTACTCAGTCCTACGAAACAACATGGATTTATAATCAATTTAACTTGGATATTAAAGTATTAGCAGAACTAATCTTATCATAAACAGTAAAGGTTCAGTTTACATTTCTGATATACTTACATTTCTTAATTTTAACGCAATATCTTTGGCTTAAAAAACACAATTTTAAATAAAAACACGATTTCGAATCAGGTTTTCAAAATGGCGGCCAAAGCAGAGAGATACTAGGGACTAATCATCACTCTTCTTGGAGTATAACACAGGTAACCCATTATGAATTTTTCCCTCTCAAAACTAAGGCTRTTTATTTAAAAAAAGTTCATGTATTTCTGGGTCCAACCGCCCTCAAACACCACTAAGATACAGCGAAAAATGTTCACAATGATTTAATCTCCACCTGAAACAATTATCACAAATCCTGTCATGAAGAGCAAATAAGAATAGGACGTTTGCATGATGTCATCATTTGACTCCCACTACCAAGATGCTTCGCGAAATTTCTTTCTTATTTAAATTTGTATTTTCTCATGAGAATAGTAAGACAATTGATGCTAATTAACTGAACAAAAGAAAGTGTGCAAGGGAGTCTGGTAGTAGAGGTCAATGACGCCATCGTGCAAACGTCCTATTAGCTGGTTTTGGTTTTGGATGATTGACATCACACTTTAACATATACCAACTTGTGTACTTCCTAAGAACGCGCGCGCTCATTGGTTAATTGGAGGTGAATATTGTACGATATTCACCTCTGAACCTTGGAATATTGAGTCGGCAACCAATTAGCATCTGCTGGGAATCGTTTTGCTACAATTTACGATGAGGAAATTGAAAAAATGAAAGTAAATGCCATTCCTATCAATACTAAAAAGGCAACGAAGTATGGCCTAAAAGTTTTGCTAAAAGTTTTGCGTGAATTTGTCACCAAACTAAAAGTTTCTGTTTGTTTGTTCTTATTGAATTATTGTATATAACAATAAGTTACTCTTTACACAAGTTGGTATATAAAAACAATTATTCGCCTCAGGCTCAGTGAATATCGGGGAATATTTACCTCGCCGCTCGAAGACTCGCGTCTCGGTAAATATTCCCCGATATTCATTGCTAAGTATATAATAAATGAAAAGTTAATTCTACTGATAATATTATGGTTTATAAACACATGACAAACATTTCTAAGAGTTTAATAGAGGCATATTTAATATGCATAACTTGTACTGACTCTTTTTTACATCCCGCTATAGCTTTAGATTATTTTTGCAATTAGTAAATCAATCGGGTTTATAATTTTCGTAGCTATTTCGTGCAACCTTTGGTAAATAAAGTCTTCTATATATCTATTCAACATTTGCGGTGCGCACAAGCTTTTTTTTTTCTTCTTTTTTTATTTTATTTTTTTGCGGTGCGCACAAGCTAATTTTTGTCATGCGCATGCATCAAATATGCATTAAATATATAGTGTAACAGGTTTTTTAAAATTCTGGTAACGGGAACGAAAAGAGATCATAGTCTTTGATGTACTTTCTTACAACAGCTCTTAACACTGGTTTTGGGACCTGATTTATCAGGTGATCAAACGAGGTTTGGTTAGTATATTCATAATAAAAGGACTGTTTTGTGGGGAATTTTACTTTATCATCAACTTGTAAATGGTGGAGAACCCGTTTAGCATCTTGTGCTAATGTGTCAAAAGAACCGATGAAGTCGTAGTTTACTGCGCATGGCTGGGACAACTCCTGATAAGGCATCCAATGCATGTCCATTTTAAGAGGTTTTGAGGTGCTGAGGTATTTGAAAAATTCCGTGATAGTTGGTACATCTTCGTCGATATAACTCCTTTGATGCTTTGACTTCTTACGAAACTTCTTGATAATCTGAGAGCCCCAGCGCTTAACAAAGTACTCTCTGTACCTAAGAAACTTGTCTTTGTAAGCAGAAACCAGACGTTCTAGTGGCTCCCGAACGAACAAGAACTTGTAGTATGTTCTCAATCGCCGTTCGATGCCAAACGGTGAATAATCAGTCAAAAAAGCGAATTTTTGATGATCGACTTTCTTGATCGAACTAGCTGCCAGAGCTTCTCCTGCCAGGACTGAGAACACTCTCTTCCAGTTCGAACACGCTACCTTGGGGAAGAAACAATATAGAATTTGGTGCCTATCGTCGACTATCATCTGTCGACCAGTCGCTTGCTTCTCTTCTAACGAAAGGCTTGACCATGATCGCTTGCCATGGAGACGACAACGCTGTTGTAGGTGTGACACACGTTCTTCGCTGCTCAGCTGTTGAACAAGATTAATTATAGGTCACTAGACAAATATGAGTATGGCATATTTGATCATATTCACTACATGCGAATAAGCGCCAGTAATTGATTATTATTAATAGTGGGGGAGAGGGAATTAACCCAAATCCATCCAAACAATGGGGTAGTGTTCATAAAAAAATATTCGAAAACGAGTCGAAAACCATCCAAAATCCAACCAAAATCGTCCRAAATGCAGCAGACATTGAGTGGCTGGCTACCTTACAAATCAAGGTTTCAAGGTTTTTATTAGTTTCCCAGAATGAAAATTTTATACTTTACATATTACTGTTAAAACATAAATCAGACACCCCCCCCCCCCCCATCCTACGCACAAAAGGTGAACAACAGTTTATATCATTAATAGCATTTGTACGATACCGTAAATAACAAATTATCTGTTCATAAGAAATCTCGACCACGCCCCTGATACTTACGAGAGGTCTTGGGGGTAAATATTGACTTGAACCTAAAAATGTTTTTATATGCGGTTAGTAATTTTCGTCGGGTTACTCTTTAAAAAAAACCCAAGGTTTTGTGCAAGGGCGGATCCAGAGAAGGGGGGGATCAAAGGGGGGCTGAAGCTCCCCTTCAGCAGAAAAAAACAAAACAAAACAAAACAAAACTGAAGAATTAAATGCGTTTTTTTGTTTTCCGTTGTGTTGACGGAAGAAACTCAATTAGGCCCCCCTAAAATTTTGGCTGGATCCGTCCTTGTGGTGGGTGGAGACCAGTGACTATGTGTTAGGGCTCTGTGAGTCTATATATCTCCATCTTTACAAATAAGCCACCCCCCCTAAAAATAGGTCCCACATTACTGATTCTGGTACAGCTCAGACAGCACCAATGACCTTGAGATCCCATGGTATACTTTTGTCTAAATTAAATGTAATAAGTCCAACCAGCACCACATTGGCACTTACTAACTTGTTTAACTCGAAAGATAACTGAGGGGGAACTATAAAGTATTTCGAACAGTAGAGTACAAACACTTAATGTGGCAACATAAATATCACTAAATAGTGTTATCTTATGCTAATTCTATTGTTTTCTTTTGTTTAAATAGTGCTATTTACTACTAAATAGTGATAACTATTGCACACATTTAGTATTTGTCCTCTATTAAGTTAATATTTTTAAATAAGTAATATTTCATTTGGTATCTTATATACCGGTGGTACATCGATTGAAATCCAAATAAAGTTTAACTATTAGATAATGTAAAAATTATAATATTATGAACGTCTATACATGCT